TTCCATAATAAAGAACTTAACAAGGTTTTTAAAATTTCTTTTCAAAGATTGACTCATTGTATTTGAAGAAAATATATCATTGGTAGGTATTGGAGAGGAGTGAAGGCAGATGGATGGTATTGTGTAAATGGATCTTCAATTCACTGATTCTCTTAATATATTATTGGAGTCCTAGGCCAGAGGCCTGACTCTGGGGGTCCTAACAGACCAGGTTCTGCCCAAAATAAAACTGAAAAGGTAATGGTGGAAAGTAAGAAAATAATTTTTTAATTAATACAGTAAAAGTTGGGGCAGAGGGTGAATGGTATATATAATTAATATTCTTGGTCAGACTGTGGTCTGGTTGATTATTTTTTCAGTTCTGGTTCTGTAAGGTGACTCTAGAGATGTTCTTATCCTCAAGTGGACAATTTCCACTTGTTCAGGGTGTTTATTTATCAGATCTATGATTCTGGAAGGGTCAAGTGAATTTCCATGAGATAGATGATTGCTACTGCTTGGATTAGGGGCAGTCTCACATTGGGTGATGTACCTGCTTCCTCTTGTTACTGGAAGGTGTAGGACAACCACTGAAGACTTGTAGGCGCCATTCCAGGGAAGTCTGAAGCAGGATGCTGCCTTGGTTTGAGTGGGATGAGATAGGTTGGGTAAGTTTAGGGATAATAAGCCTTTTGTTACCACCTTTTAGATGAACGCTCCTTTAATGATTAACATGCCTTCATGCAGAGCTGAGCAGAGACCTTTAATTGACCCAGTTAAAAGTAATAAAGCAGACAGTTACAGAAAGAGAGTAGAGATGCCAAGTTTTATCCACATTTAGCAAAGACAGCCTAAGTTCCTGTTAAAAACTCAGTTCAGTTGAATTCAAATTTAGGCATAGTCTTGGATTTATACCCCACCAGTTAAGGATTCAATTTCCTAAGACTTCCCCCACTTCAGATGTTGACTGGCTACACATTTGCAGGTTTCATCAACCCCCTCTTAAAGTTCAGTAATTCACAAGAAGAACTCAAGTAGACAACTAACTTTTATTTGATTATTATAAAGGATACTACTCAGGAACAGCCTAATAGAACAGATATGTAGGGCAAGACATGGAAACGGGTATGTGTGCTTCCTTGCCCTCTCTGGGCATATCACCTTCCCAGCATTTCAGTGAATTTACCAACTGGAAGCTCTTCAAAACACATTGTTGCAAAGGTTTTATTAGAGATCTTATTAGATAACTCAGTTGATTAAATCATCTGCCACTGGTGACTGGATTCAGTTTCCAGCCATTCTCCCTTTGTTTTGTGGGTATGGTGGGAGCCAAAAGTTCTAATGCTCTAATCATGCCATCATCATTCTGAAGACCAGCCCCTATCCTTAATCTATCTAGGTACCCAGAGAGTCACCTCATTATCATAAACTCAGGTATGGTTAAAAGGGGCTTGTTATTGATAACAAAAGATGTTCCCATCTCTCAGGAAATTCCAAGGAAGCTCTGTGCCAGGAATCTGGGACAAAGACCAAATATAGTATATGTTTTCTGTTACACCATGGTGGATAGAGGAGTTGTTGCCTTGAAGTTTTATATATGGAGAGCATGAGGGTGCATATGTGCACACATACAATACTGTGTATAACTCAGGGGCACTGTACTTCTGAGCTACAGCCTTAGCCCTTTTTGTTTTGAGACAGGGCCTGCTAAGTTGCTGAGGCTGGCCTCTAACTTGCAATCCTTCTGCCTCAGCCTCCCCAGTCCCTGGAATTACAGGTGGACACCACTGAATCGTACTACTTCCAAATCTTAAGTGGTTACTCCATTACAGTTAAATCATAATTACATTAAATCATTATATTTAGTAATGATTCAGAAGATGTGCATGATTTAAGTTTTCATATCGACAAAGTAGAGTAATATTTTCTGGGAGTTAAGGGGAGGAAGAATGCAGAGTAACTGCTAATGGTGTCACTGGAAAAGTGATATCACCAGAAGAGGTTCCCAAGGAATTACCAAGGAAAGGGGGACACTTAATTCAGGATAAGTGGGGTCCTTCACATATGTCACAGAAAAAAAATTGAGCATATATCAGTAAGAGGGATAGATTAATTTTGTAAAGTAAGTAATGCACATTTTTCTTTACCACATTCTTTCTTGTGGTGAAAGATATTCCTCAATCTAGAAAGAGATGTGTTTTCAGGGTTCCTGACTCTTAAAAGAAAACTTGATGAAGTCTGGTTATGGGAGAGTAAGATTATAAGGGTGTCAGAAAGTAAGGGTATAAGGCTGTCAGTCTGGTAGTTCTTAGTATCTTTAGGCTGAAGGTGGTCTTCATTACCTGATTGGTAGATAACATTGGAAAGTACCCTAAGTTATAGGTTTCTTAAAATATCATATCTTTCTTCATTTTATTTATTTTTTTGGTGGGCTAATTAACAGTGCCCAAGGTAATTTACATAAGCGAATGAATTTATGGTAACTTTAAGACTTAGAGATTTTCTAGAAATTTGGGAGTGATAGGCATAGGAGAGAAACTGGCTCAGGGAATGATACACCTGGAAAGGTATATAGAACCTTAAGATTATATTTCCTCGTCTTTGCCTTTTGTATCCTTTCTACCTATTTTTATTTTTTTTCTCCTAACTCTTATAGGTTTGGAGTTTCTTTGCGGAGGCAAGAAAAATATGGAATTAGGGCTGGGGACATAACTTAGTGGTAAAGTGATTACCTAGCATGCACAAGGCCTTGGATTCCATCACCAGCAACACACATACACACAAACACACACACCCCCAGAGTTAGATAATGGTGATGGTTTTACAACTTTATATACTGTGGAACCAACTTAGATGCCCTCAGTAGATGAATGGATTTTTAAAAATGTAGCATATATACATATCTAAATGCACAATCTCATCTACTTCATTTGTTTTTATGTATGTATTATACCCACTATCCTATATCTTGTATTTTCCCCTCATTCTACATGACAGTGTTTTTCAGAATTTACTGTGTCTCAGTTTCCTGGAGAGCAGTCACATCAAATTGCTGAACCCTACACCCAAAATTTGTGATTCTGTAGGTCTGTGGTAGGATCAGAAATGTACATTTCTATCAGGTTTTCATTTGTTAACTGCTGCTGTGATGAACAACCACACATGTGGTAACTTAACAAATTTATTATGTTACAATTCTATATTATTTCCTGAACCACATTCTTTTGTCTTACTCTTCCCCTCCAACCCCTGTTCTGCCTCTTCACTCAGTGTTTTGTCTTTCTTGTTATCCACGTGACATGTTTGGGTTATACACCTTTCTTTTTATCCACAAATTTAGTTTTTTTCTTCACCACATTCTTTCTTGTGGTGAAAGATATTCCTTAATATCTATCTTGTTAATATTCCATTGTAGCTTATGGTACATTCTTTAGCAGCCTCTTTGATTGTTTTTCTTTCTTTCTTTTAAAAAAAAAACACAAAAAACCTCTGGGCTGGATGAGATGATGCATGCCTGTAATTTTGGGGGAGACTGAGGTTGGAGGATTACAAATTCAAGGTCAACCTGGGCAATTTAGTAAGACCTTGTCTCAAAATGAGGCTGGGATTGTAGCTCGGTGGTATTGTACCTCTGTTTTAATGCCCAGTACTGAAAATAACCCGAACAGAAAAAACCCCAAAGCCATTTCATTTTGAAGTGTTTCCCTATGAATGTCCTTTTTCTGTTCAGCATCTAATCTTAAGATCCCACATTGCATTTAATTGTTGTCTCTTCTGTGACTATTTTTCTAGTTCTTTCTTCGTCTTTCATGGTCTTCATACTTTTGATGAGTTATTTGTAGTATCTCTGTAAGTTTGGGTTTGTTTAATGTTTCCTCATTATTAGATTGAGGGTTGTGGGTTTTTTTTTTTTTTGTACTAGGGATTGAACTCAAGGGCACTCAATCACTGAGTCACATCCCCAGCCCTTTTTGTATTTTATTTAAAGACAGAGTCTCACTGAGTTGCTTAGGGCCTCGCTAAGTTGCTGACGTTTGCTTTGAACTCGAGATCCTCCTGCTTCAGCTTCCCCAGCTGCTAGGATTACAGGTGTGTGATATTGTGCCCGGTGAATTTATTTTTTTATTTTTATTTTTGGTAAGAATACCACAGAAAAAGCTGGGCACCTGTAATTCCAGAAATTTAGGAAAAATGAGGCAGAAGGATTGCAAGTTCGAGGCTAACCTCTGCAACTTAGCAAGTCTAGACCCTTAGCAATTTAGCAGAACCTGTCTCAACAAGTGCTGGGGATGTAGTTTGGTGGTGAAGTGTGCCCTGGATTCAGTCTCCAGCCCACCCCCCACAAAAAAAAAAGTTTGTCCTTTGTCCCAGTTTTATGAGATTATTCTGTCTTTATAAGCTTATGAGATATCTTCTGTGTACTTTATCTGTTTCTGGACCTTGTATTATTCTGTCATTCTAATAGCCTGTGTTGCAGTAACAAATTCGGAGTTTTGTTTTGCTTTTCTGCAGTGCTGGGAATTAAATCCTTTTAAATGTAACACTAAGCGATTTTTAGTATATTCACAGAATTGTGCAGCCATCACTACAGTCACAGCCAATTTTAGAATATTGATTGTGTTCTAAATCAGTCATTTTCCTAAAAAGAAACCCAATATCCATTAGCAGTCACTCTACATTTTCACTAAAGCCCTTCCTTTTTTTGGGGGGGGTGTGGGGGCGGAGGTGCTGGGGATCAGGTCCTCATGTATGCTCTGCAAGTGCTCTACCACTGAGCTACATCCCAAGCCCCAGTGTTTTTTGTTTTGTTTTGTTTTTAATTTTTAATAGCTTTTTTTCTTCAGCTTTTTTTCCCAATCACATATGGGTTTTCTTTTTTGGAACACTTACTTTCTACTTCTGTTTAAGTAGAGAGGTGAGAAAGAATAGTGTACTTCAAAAACTGTTTTGGTTGATTAAGAAATATTTCAGAATTAAAACATTGTGTGTGTGTATAGAGAGAGAATGTGCATGCGTGCACAGTGCTTCCATAGTACATATGATAAAACTGAAATAATATGAAGATGATTAGCATGGCCTCTGTGCAAATTTGTAAGTTGTTCCATATTGTAAAAAATATATGTATATACCCATCTTAAATTTAAAAAGGGGAAAGAAAAGGTAATTGATGTGTTAGTCAGTTTTCTTTCACTGTAATAGATAACCTACTATAAATCAACTTAAAGGGAGGAAAGGTTTATTTTGGCTCACAGGTTTGGAAGTTGGGATCCCTGGTTAATGGCTCAGTTGCATTGGGCCCATAGTGAGGCAGCACTTCGTGTCAGGAGTGTATGGCAGAGGAAGCTTCTCAACTCATGATAGCTGAGAAACTAAGAGAATGGTAATAGAGTTCTAGTATCCCCTTCAAAGCATGCTGCCAGTGACCAAATTTCCTCCTAAGCCCCATCTCTTAAAGTTTCCACTACCTCCCAATAGCACCACAGGCAGGCGATCATTCCTTTAACACATGGACCTTTGGGGTACACTACCTCAAACTATAGCAAGATGTATTGTGTTCTTGCCAAATATTAGTTATTATATTAAATTGCCTATCTTAAAATGATCCTATATGTTTTAGATGATACCATACTCAGCTACTGACAGGTTTGGTAGTCCAGAACATTGAGATTCAACCAGGTGAAGTAACTTGTCCAAATTTGATCAGTGACTGGGTATAGCCATGAACTCCTGTGATCCTAGTAACTCAGGAGGCTGAGGCAGGAAGATCACAAGTTCCAGGCAAACCTTGGCAACTTAGACTGTCTCAAAGTTAAAATAGGGCTGGGAAAGTGGCTCAGTGGTAGAGGGACTCTGGATTTAGTCCCCATTACATTTTCCTGCCCATCCCCCCAAAGTTCCAGAATCTATCATTTACAATGATTATTAAAGGACCCTACTATTGATAGCAACATCAGAAGTTTAAAGAAGTATATTTTTTCCAGGTATAATAATGTAATGAGACAACATAATCGTCTTGACTTGTGAGCAGAGGCATTTGCACTTCTCTTTGGTGTATTTGTGAACAGTTTTCTTTTTGGTTCCCCATTGATTATCTCCTTAGAGGAAGATGTTAACAAGCACCTTGTACTAGGGTTTATTAAAACTTCTGCCTTTGTGAACATGGATAATAATGATCACTTCTTCCTAAAAGTGAAGTTTCAAAACACCCATATTGTTGCAAACACTCTCAGTAGGTTATCTGACAGGACCCATTTTGTGTTAAATATACCAGCAAGGGGTGAGTTTTAAACTTCTGTCCTTATGAAAATTACTGATAAATCATTAATTTAAAAGCCCCACTGAATTATTTTCTTTTTTTAATATTTATTTTTTGGTTAGACACAATACCTTTATTTTGTTTATTTATTTTTTATGTGGTGTATCGAACCGAGGGCCTCACGCATGCTAGACGAGTGCTCTGCTGCTGAGCCACATCCCCAACCCCACACTGAATTATTTTCTACTGAAGTAAAGTGTCCATTGGTATCATATGGCTTGTAACCTGGTCTGCTATGTGCAAATATATGAATTCTTGATGATTTGACTGCAGGGGAAGGAGTTGTCAGTGTTTATAATAAACATTTTATGAAAAAAAAATCTTAGGGACTGGAGTTGTGGCTCAGCGGTAGAGCGCTCACCTAGCATGTGCAAGGCCCTGGGTTCGATCCTCAGCACCACATAAAAATAAAAGTATTGTGTCCAATTACAACTAAAAAGAAAAATGTTAAAAAAAAATCTTTAAAAATTTTACTGCAAAGAAACTGAGGCTTAGATTAAATGATGTGACTCAGAGCTCAAGTTAATGGCAGAGGTATTCTAGGTCTCTTGGGTTTTGAGTCTATAATCCTTTGTTTTAATAAATCTAGTATGTAAGCTGGATGTGGTGCACACCTGTGTCCTGGCAGCTGGGGAGGCTGAGGCAGGAGGATTTCAAATTCGAGGCCAGCCTCAGCAACTTAGTGAGACCCTGTGTAAAAAAAAAAAAAAAAAAAAAAGAGCTGGGGATGTGGCTCAGTTATTAATTAAGCCTTGGGTTCAATCCCTAGTATCTCCCAAACAACAACAACAAAGAGCCCTTGTGTGTAGGCCAGAGATGTTGCTCAGTGATATAGCATGAGCTTAGCATGTGCAAGGCCCTAAAGTTCAAACTCTAGTACAACCCTCCCACCACCACCACTACCACCACCAAACAAAGGACTAGTGATGTAGCACAGTAGTAGAGTGCTTTCCTGCTGTGCACAAGGTCCTGGGCTCCATCCCCAGCACTACAAACAAAACCCCACCACCACCCCAAACAACAACAACAACAACAAAAGCACTTTTTTTGTATCCTTTACACCATTTTAACGTGCAAATCCCAAATGAAATTCAAATTATATGATTGTATCATCCTGTAATTCTGTTTTTTAGGATCACAGATGTGATTATCTTTTTAATAAGTGTTTATCTTCAGATTATATTGTAAGAGTATCATTTTTAGGAATGTGATAATAAAAATTATGCAATTATATGTAAAGATGTAATAATATATCTGCAGAAATAACTAGATGCATTTTAAAAATATCAACTCTTCAGTGGAGCTAGTGACATTTAATTTACCTCCCACTTTTTTCTCTAAAGATTATTATTATTGTTTTCATCTAGTAAGTTATACACCTGAATCTTCTAATTTCTTGTTTTGTTGACTTTTTTTTTTTTTTTTTTTGGCTTTCCCTCATAGATCTTGAGCCAGATGATTGTGCATCCATTTACATCTTTAATGTAGATCCACCTCCATCTACTTTAAATTCACCACTTTGCTTACCACAACATGGATTACCGTCTCACTCTTCTGTTTTGTCACCATCATTTCAGCTCCAAGGTCACAAAAACTATGAAGGAACTGGTGACGTTCCTGAATCTAAATACAGCCCATTAGGTGGTCCCAAACCCTTTGAGTGCCCAAGTATTCAAATTACTTCCATCTCTCCTAACTGTCATCAAGAAACAGATGCACATGAAGATGATCTACAGATAAATGACCCAGAAAGGGAATATTTGGAGAGGCCTTCTAGAGATCATCTCTATCTTCCTCTTGAGCCATCCTACCGGGAGTCTTCCCTTAGTCCTAGTCCTGCCAGCAGCATCTCTTCTAGGAGCTGGTTCTCAGATGCATCTTCTTGTGAATCTCTTTCACACATTTATGATGATGTGGACTCGGAGTTGAATGAAGCTGCTGCCCGATTTACTCTTGGATCCCCTCTGACATCTCCAGGTGGTTCTCCGGGAGGCTGCCCTGGAGAAGAGTCCTGGCATCAACAGTATGGACTTGGACACTCCTTGTCACCCAGGCAATCTCCTTGCCACTCTCCTAGATCTAGTATCACTGACGAGAATTGGTTGAGCCCCAGGCCAGCCTCAGGACCCTCATCAAGGCCCACTTCACCCTGTGGGAAACGGCGGCACTCCAGTGCCGAAGTTTGTTATGCTGGATCCCTATCACCCCATCACTCACCTGTTCCTTCTCCTGGACACTCCCCTAGGGGAAGTATAACAGAAGATACCTGGCTCAATGCTTCTACCCATAGTGGATCAGGCCTTGGCCCTGCACTTTTTCCATTTCAGTACTGTGTAGAGACTGATATCCCTCTGAAAACAAGGAAGACTTCTGAAGATCAAGCTGCCATACTACCAGGAAAATTAGAGCTCTGTTCAGATGATCAAGGAAATTTATCACCATCCCGGGAGACTTCAGTAGATGATGGCCTTGGATCTCAGTATCCTTTAAAGAAAGATTCATCTGGTGACCAATTTCTTTCAGTTCCTTCACCCTTTACCTGGAACAAACCAAAGCCTGGCCACACACCTATATTTCGGTGAGTTGATGGAAATGACTGCTGCTGACTGAATAGTTTGGATCATTGGTGGAAATGGTTTAAACATTTTTACTCCTTCCCTCCCTTTCTTATTTTCCTTCTTTCCTATCATCCATCCATCCATCTATCTATCTATTTAACTTTTTGGTACTGGGTATTTAACCCAGGGGTACTTTACCAGCCCTTTTTATTTTTCTTTTGAGATAGGGTCTCACTAAGTTACTTAGGGCCTTGTTAAGTTGCTGAAGCTGGCCTCAAATTTGGAATCATCCTGCCTTAGCCTCCCTAGTCTCTAGGATTACAGGCATGCACTACCACTCCCAGCTCCCTTTTTATTATTATTTTTTAAAATTTCTACTTACAAATAACTATTTGTAAATCTATTTTTATTTTCTTTGAAGTCTTCAAAGCAGATAGGATAAAGTTATAATTTTGGAGGTATATAGGTGTTATGCATAGTGCACATTTGTAATCCCAGCTACCTCAGGAGGCTGAGATAGCAGGATCCCAAGCTGAAGACCAGTTTGGGCAATTTATGGAGACCCTATCTCAAAATAAAACTTAAAAAAGGATTGGGGATATATAGCTCAGTGGTAGAATACTTGCCTACCGTGTGCAAGGCCCTGGGTTCAAGTCTTAGTGCCCCCTCTACAAAAGTATATAGATGATGAATTATAGATAATAAGAAATTACACTTAAGGATTTCCTAGAAGGAATTTTCTTATCTAGAAAATCTTGTAAAAGATGGGTTATGGTGTGAATTATATTAAAAATAAAACTAACTAATTAAAAAAAGAATTGCCAAAAAATTATATATAGCAGTAACATAAGAGAATTCTAAGAGCATTCATATAATTACTAAAATCCTGTAATCATAGAATTCTAACATGGGAGCAAAGATAAGATATGAGGTATATTTGTCCTATAATATTCAGCATTAAAGTTATACTTTATCTGAAAAAAATAAAACCTAATTGGGAATAAACTTAACTCTCTCTATATATATTTTTTAATATTTATTTATTTATTTATTAGGTATAGATGGACACAACACAATGCCTTTATTTTTATGTAGTGCTGAGGATTGAACCTGGGTCCTGCCAGTGCTAGGCGAGCGCTCTACCGCTGAGCCACAATCTCAGCCCCTTAACTATATTTTTAAGAGCTTAAAGTCCCTTGTCAAATTTGTGGCAAGCATTTTTCCCCCATAATGTTATTTGTTGACTGACTG